TGAGTTGCTCGAGTACTAATACTGTACTACAAATTCTGTGACGTACAGCCATGATTAAGAAGACAGAACTGGTTGATTTTATAGTAAAAAAACTGGTTACACCTTACTAAGTCACTTTAAGACTAGACTGAGTATAATGATTATACCAGTATGGTGATATCTATCTCAGCCTGTTATTTCTTATACAGGGTGGTCCAAAAGTCACTGTCTACTGTGTTAGAAAAAACAGTCAGTCATTCATTCAGAAGAACAAGTAATGTCATATACCCTTGTACAATCATTATCGAGCTCAGGTCTAAGGTTCACCATCAGCGTCTCCGCAAATATTTATCGTTACAGAAGATGCAGTAACTGGGGTCAGTTTATCTTGATACGGTTCAGCTTGTTCCGAGAGCCTCCTCACCTTGGATCAGATAACATCCTTAACACTGTCGCCTTGCCACAAAATGGAGCTCCACGTCACTAGCTGTATAAACATCGTTCACACTTACCGTGATGAGCTCTGGCCAAATTGCTATATTGGACATGGTGGAGGGTCGCCCCGGGCTGCACCACCTACACGTTTCATACAAAAAAAAAAAATTCTTTCTGTGCAGGAGCAGTGTGTACAGTTTGAGGTTTACACAACAATGATCACAGACTTCAGAGAACTATAGACCCTTACTGTTACAATAGTTGCTAAAATAACCCCAGTGATGTCTGAGAATGGGTGTTGTAATAACAGGACACCCACCGATGATGCTTACGTCGAAATAGTATGTCCAAGGTCGATAATAAATATGTATTGATTATATAATTACATTCTTCATCCTGAATGAACTTTTTATCTCACCAAAGAAACAGGAACTTTTGGACGACCAGAACAGTATACTTCACAGGAGAGCATTTACGTGTTGTAATATTATTGGACGACAAGGAATAAGGGTCAATTAATCAATGCCTTCCTATACACCCTTGAGGACAACCCATCCACACTTCAGGAACAACAACACTGTATAAACCTAACAGGGTGTTGATACAGGGTGTTGATACAGGGTGTTGATACAGGGTGTTGATACAGGGTGTTGATACAGGGTGTTGATACAGGGTGTTGATACAGGGTGTTGATACAGGGCGTTGATACAGGGTGTTGATACAGGGTGTTGATACAGGGTGTTGATACAGGGTGTTGATACAGGGTGTTGATACAGGGTGTTGATACAGGGTGTTGATACAGGGTGTTGATACAGGGTGTTGATACAGGGTGTTGATACAGGGTGTTGATACAGGGTGTTGATACAGGGTGTTCTATTCAAGTGGAAATGTGAGGCAGAGAGCTGTCGTCATAAATGAAGATTCTTATCAAATTAGAGATAAATTATTGTCATCAACAGTTCACCAAAATTGGGTTAGAATAATAATGACAATACTATAGTTATCCCAAACGTAAAGAACTACAACTACACAATAAAATGACCACATATCTGGCCTCCGTGTGTGTCTCCCTCCCTCCCTGTGTGTGTGTGTGTGTGTGTGTGTGTGTCTGTGTGTGTGTCTGTGTGTGTGAGAGATGATCGATAGGCTCATTATATACAAGGCCGTTTCTTTCGTCTTCTTGAAAAGTTTTATATTGGTACCGTAATTAATAATGTCACACACACCTGAAAAATGTCGCCTCGCCTTTTATGCGATATTAATAGACGAGTTGCCAATAAGAAAGTTCACCTGTGAGGCTGTTCTGAGTCTGTTCTGAGAGTCTGTAAGGCTGTTCTGAGTCTATGAGGCTGTTCTGAGTCTGTGTGGCTGTTCTGAGTGTGTGAGGCTGTTCTGAGTGTCTGTGAGGCTGTTCTGAGGTTCAGAGTCTGTGAGGCTGCCTTGAGTGTCTGTGAGGCAGTTCCCTGAGTCTGTGAGGCTGTTCCAAGTGTGAGGTTGTTCTGAGAGTGTGTAAGGCTGTTCTGAGTCTGTGAGGCTGTTTTTGAGTCTGTGAGGCTGTTCTGAGTGTCTGTGAGGCTGCTCTGGAGTGTCTTTGAGTCTGTGAGGCTGTTCTGAGTCTGTGAGGCTGTTCTGAGAGTCTGCTCCAAGTCTGTGAGGCTGTTCTAAGTCTGTGAGGCCGCTCGAGTCTGTGAGGCTGTTCTGAGTCTGTGAGGCTGTTCTGAGAGTCTGTTCTAAGTCTGTGAGGTTGTTCTAAGTCTGTGATCTGGAGTCTGTGAGGCTGTTCTGAGTCTATGAGGCTGTTCTGAGTATCTATGAGGCTGTTCTGAGACTCTATGAAGCTGTTCTGAGTCTACGAGGCTCTCCAGATACATCCTGAGAGAGCCTTTCCTTTACAGAGTTATGCAACACCTTCATACACACACTCACCAAACACACACACACTCTCACACCAACACACTCACCAAACACACTCAAACCAGATACACTTTCATCAAACACACTTTAACTAAACACACTTTCACCAAACACTCTCAAAAACACTTTCACCAAACACACTCATCAAACTCCTAACACCAGAGAGAGAGAGAGAGAGAGTGAAGTGTCCCGGGATAGAACCAGCGAACCTTAGGACAAGAGGTAAGCACTGTATCCATTCAGCCACTACACCCCCAAGCATACAGTCTATTTACTACACCTCACTGCCATAACCCTGGAGACAAGAGGCAGGTGTACGGTAGGTCCTCTGGTCATTATCTCAAGACACCTAGACGACACGGGGGATGGACTGATACACAACCTAGTTACCAGCGAACGGACAGATGGACTGATACACAACCTAGTTACCAGCGAACGGACAGATGGACTGATACACAACCTAGTTACCAGCGAACGGACAGATGGACTGATACACAACCTAGTTACCCGCGAACGGACAGGCGGACGCATACGCAGATGTAGTCACCAACGAACACACGGACACATATCATATACAACACTGAAGTAGTTGTTGATATAATGTTATTAATGAGCTACAACAACAAAGGTCATTAAGCGAGTAACAAGGGAAAAGGTAATACGCTGATCCAACAACAATTAATGAGATAGAACTCAGTGTAGCGATGTGTAACGGGGAAGAGAACTCCACTATTACCGGGTCAACGGGGAAGAGAACTCCACTATTACCGGGTCAACAGGGAAGAGAACTCCACTATTCCCGGGTCAACGGGGAAGAGAACTCCACTATTACCGGGGAAGAGAACTCCACTATTACCGGGGAAGAGAACTCCACTATTACCGGGTCAACAGGGAAGAGAACTCCACTATTCCCGGGTCAACAGGGAAGAGAACGCCACTATTACCGGGGAAGAGAACCCCTATTACCGGGAAGAGAACTCCACTATTACCGGGGGAAGAGAACTCACTATTACCACCCACTATTAGGGAAGAGAACTCCACTATTACCGGGGAGAACTCAATATTACCGGGGGAAGAGAACGCCACTATTACCGCAGTCAACAGGGAAGAGAACGCCACTATTACCGGGGCAACACACTCAAAATTCTTTCCTCCGTGTAATTAGGAACTATTTGAGAGAGAGAGAGAGAGAGAGAGAGAGAGAGAGAGAGAGAGAGACAGAGACAGAGAGAGAGAGAGAGAGAGAGAGAGAGAGAGAGAGAGAGAGACCAACCTATATCTCACCAAAATTTTCAACACATACAGTAATAACACCGCAGCTTCCCTCACAGTCCACTGCACACCAACACCTCGCATAAATCCTAGTAAAGCGCATCCAACCGCTGCCCTCCGATACACCACCAGAATCTATACAAAACTTCTATATTTTGTTTCCTGCACATTGTAAACAACTTTCTCTTGTTAGTCTATTCTCACACCTGTTGTTACTTGTGAAACAGTAACATGGACATGAAACTATCAGACGTGAACGCTAAACTTGCCAGAAAATCAAGTATGAACGCAACAAGAGCTTATGAGGTTTTAATCATCCATTAAGACTTCAACAACTTTAAACACCTTATTATACTCTATTGTCAGTCTCTTGTTCCCTTCTTCTGTCAACAAGAGATTAATGAAAGAGTACGTCTCCCTGAGCTACCACACTGACAATAGCAGCATCCTCGCCCCACAACAGAGGAACGATAACAAGAGCAGATATGACACTACGATCAGGTGAAATATATCCCTATGTTACTGTAGTGGGATATAGTATATTTCTGGAGGGTTTTGATACTTGAGATTAAAACAGTAAACAAAAGTAATTCAAAACATACATATACTTCAAGACGACTGTGTGTTCTACCCTAATAGTTCTACTTATCTCTGACGCTGCCTGGACTTGGCATGCTACTTTTCACTTCAGTCACTTGATTCATGAGTACATTAGTTGCTATACACTTCCCAGTATAGCAGAAAAACAAAGATCACACGACAGTACTGCAAATCAGGTGAAACAGCCTGTACAGGACGACAAGGGGGCACCCCAGGTCACAGTTCCTGAGTGGATTCACCCGAGCTCGCTAGTGGGTCTTGCACTCCTACACTGGTCACCTCAACACTACACTGTAACTGCCTCCCACTGACAGCCCTACATTCCTTCCCCTTTAAAACACCAACACCCTAATTAAAACCTACTAGTAATTAAAACTGTGCACCAATATATATGGAAATAGATCACGCATAAAACCCTAATACCAGCGATATTAAACATTACTGTACCTCAATAGGATGAGGTAAACCTGATCACACCAGTCCATGTATTCAGGTCCGTCCAGCTGGACCCAACGTCGATGCCTCACTACACCACGTGGCCCCCTCCCGGAACTTCGCCTCGTACTCTGAACCTCTAATTCTCACGCCTGGGTACACAGGAGCCTGCTGCTAGCTCAACGTACAGACGGAATGACAATTATTGACGAATCTGTATGAAACTATTCGACCACAGCTACCGACGCACAACTGTGAACAACAACCGGCCGACCCAAGGAGGTTAATAAAACAGACGAGAGCCACTACAACAGACCTGGACCAGTAAAAGAACACAAGGAAGGCAACACACTTGAGGTACTTACCGCAGGGTCTTCCTGCGTCATTGTCTTGTCGCTCATCACGGAGGGCGAGGGAGAGGTCGGCCTTGGGAGTGAGTTGGCCCTCGATCCCCCGCCAACACTCAGCGTGTCCACACTGAGAGTACTTGATGGTGAATTACTTCTGAAGGGCGGAGGTGTGGAGTACGTGTGTGGGGCGGCAGGTGGTGGCGGCAGGTAGTCGTCATCAGGCATCAGAGAAGGAAGAAAGAAAAAACATGTTAGTCTCCTGAGGAGTAACAACACTTTCTCACTACACACTTTTTTTTTGTCTTATAGAACTTGTCAACAAACCCAAAACTTTGGAAAAGTCTACACGAGAACACAAATTAAATAGGTTTCAAATCTGTGTAATTATATATAATATATATATATATATATATATATATATATATATATATATATATATATATATATATATATATATATATATATATATATATATATATATATATATATATATTAAAGTGATTGAAAAATTTTCCGAAAATCTAAGGATGCAAGTAAAAAATAAAGAAAATCAATGGTGTACGCTGGTTACATTTAATAAAGTTCTGGTCACCAACTGGTAGGGGGCAGGGAGGAGCGGAGGCACTATAGGTCGTTAACACAGCAACAGTTCAGAACTAATTAACATGGCAACAGTTCAGAAAAACAAAATGTGTTCGACGTTTATTTTTGCTACATTTTGAGACCGAGAACATCAGACGGTGAACGGGTGAGGGAGTCGTTTACCCACAATCCCAGCGAAATCGGACAGAGGTGCAGACAAAGAATTATTAACACTTCATCCAACAGTTCAGAAAATTCAGCAGAGGAGATCCATACAATCCCCTTTCTTCCTCAGTTTCCCATTGGATTTTTTTCCTACGGTGTTACGAGAAGGAAAAAGTGCACCCAGGCTTACGACACTACAATACGTGAGTGAGGGGAGCAACACACCAGATACGAGACAAATAACGAGTAATAACGAGTTTGTGACACCTGAGGCCTTCTGGGACACTCAATCACCTCACTTATAAAAATTCTGAAAAAAAAATGAAAGTAAAAAATATGGTCTAACTTTGTATAATTATCTTGTAAACACTTTGATGATCGGCTGTGGTCAACCTTACAGAATGGTGGTGTCAGGTGTGGTGGAGGCTGGAGTGAACAGTGTCAGGTGTGGTGGAGGCTGGAGTGAACAGTGTCAGGTGTGGTGGAGGCTGGAGTGAACAGTGTCAGGTGTGGTGGAGGCTGGAGTGAACAGTGTCAGGTGTGGTGGAGGCTGGAGTGAACAGTGTCAGGTGTGGTGGAGGCTGGAGTGAACAGTGTCAGGTGTGGTGGAGGGTGGAGTGAACAGTGTCAGGTGTGGTGGAGGCTGGAGTGAACAGTGTCAGGTGTGATGAAGGACCCCGACAACAACACGGTCTTCAACCTCAACTTTGTACCACAGTGACACCTCTTGCCACAGTGCCGACACCACACGTCACAACTCACGATAAAACCAAGTGGGAATATTTATTAATAGTTATTATTATACGTCAGGCAGTTCGAACACAACAGTATTGGCTCTTAAACTGATAACATTGTACATTTCGTCAACCTTTGATGTCAACAGCTAAACGTTGTCAGTAATAAACTAAAAAACATGGATTTACTGCACCTGTTTACACGACTCTGCTGCTACTGTACATAACTTGTTTTTAATAACTGTGTAAGTTAATACAATGTTGACAAGATAACACCCACAATATATACTACAGTTAGACGTGGTCACCATAACAACACAACACGTACAGTAAGTCAGTAGTCTTAACACCAGTGTGGATTAAGGTGCTATTTAACATTACTAAGTGTGACCTCCACGACCGGACTACGTGGGCAGTGTCACGTGGATAATCATATAAGCAGTATTACGGGAACAATCCCTAGGAAGAATTCAGAGGAGAATGACAAGACTAATCCCGGGCATTAGGAACTTTGAGTACAGAGACAGGTTAAAGCATCTTAATCTGCACTCCCTCGAGAGACGATAGAGAGGCGATATAATCGAGGTGTATAAATGGAAGTCAGGGCAAAAATCGTAGCAATGGTTTTAAATTAGACAAATTTAGATTTAGGCGCGAGATAGGTAAACACTGGTTTGGAAATATAGTGAGTGAGTGGAACAAGTTACCAAACATCATCATTAACTGGAATACGCTGGATGGCTTCAAACATAGGTTGGGTGGATATATGAGCGATAGGGGTTGGGTGTAAATGGGACTGCCTAGTATGACCCGCTGCAGTTTCCTCCATCCTTATGTCTATACTTGTTGACACTGTACTGGGAGGACAGCAGCAGTGAACACAGTGAGGGTGTCCAGGTGCGGGGGTGTCAGGGCAGGGGGTGTCCATGTGCAGGGTGTCGGGGGCAGGGGTGTCAGGGGCAGAGGGTGTACAGGGCAGGGGTGTCCAGGTGCAGGGGGTGTCAGGTGCAGGGGTGTCCAGGTGCAGGGGTGTCCAGGTGGGGGTGTCCAGGTGCAGGGGTGTCCAGGTGCAGGGGTGTCCAGGTGCAGGGGTGTCCAGGTGCAGGGGTATCCAGGTGCAGGGGTGTCAGGTGGGGGTGTCAGGTGCCAGGGGGTGTCAGGTGCAGGGGTGTCCAGGTGCAGGGTGTCAGGTGCAGGGTGTCCAGGTGCAGGGGAGTGTCCAGGTGCAGGGGTGTCCAGGTGCAGGGGGTGTCCAGGTGCAGGGTGTCAGGGCAGGAGTGTCATCCCAGGGCAGGGGTGTCAGGGCAGGGGTGTCACATATATGTGAAGCGTCTTGTTAAATAACTACTTGAGGCAAATTTGCGTTCCTCACACAGGTTAACACCTCAATAAATTCCTGTGAAGGTAACGTGACCTTGTACCAATACTAGACACGCTCACCGGCGGACAGGCTGTCTCCAATAAGTCTGAACGTGTGCTCGACAGTGGCTCCTAGAGACAGTGGTGGTAAACATTGCTTTTATACATGAGTAACTGTGGTCGGTAGGATTGGGCGGTGGTGGTCAGGAGTGGGCGGTGGTGGGCGAGGAGGTGCGGGGGGGGAGAGCAGCCAGGTAGACGGACATAGTTGTAATAGGAAGTATCGAAGATGAGAAAAAAAAATAACACACCGCCACCAACACGCGCTGTGGTGGTGAGAACTGTTGTGTGGTGGACGAGCCACTTTGTGAATAATGTAGACCGATGGTGTGAGGCGCCGCTGTCTGCACCAACACCTGGAGATGATACAAGTAGCAACAACACCTTGTCGCCTCTCAGTGTAGGGAGGAAACTGGTGGAGGTAAGATGCGTCACAACTCTCCGCTCAATCTAAATTCTATGGCAGGGACCACTGTACACTATGGCAGGGACCACTGTACACTATGGCAGGGACCACTGTACACTATGGCAGGGACCACTGTACACTATGACAGGGACCACTGTACACTGACAGGGACCACTGTACACTATGGCAGGGACCACTGTACTATGGCAGGGACCACTGTACTGGCAGGGACCACTGTACACTATGACAGGGACCACTGTACACTATGGCAGGGACCACTGTACACTGGCAGGGACCACTGTACACTATGTGGGACCACTGCACACTGTACACTATACCACTGTACATGGCAGGGACCACTGTACTATGGCAGGGACCACTGTACACTATGGCAGGGACCACTGTACACTACAGGGACCACTGACACCACTGTGGACAGGGACCACTGCACATGACAGGGACCACTGTACACTATGTCAGGGACCACTGTACTGTACCACTATGGCAGGGACCACTGGGCAGGGACCACTGTACACTGGCAGGGACCACTGGCGGCAGGGACCACTGTACTATGGCAGGGGACCACTGTACTATGGCAGGGACCACTGTACACTGGGCAGGGACCACTGTACACTATGGCAGGGACCACTGTACTATGGCAGGGACCACTGTACACTATGGCAGGGACCACTGTACACTATGGCAGGGACCACTGTACACTATGGCAGGGTCCACTGTACACTATGGCAGGGTCCACTGTACACTATGGCAGGGTACAGGGTCCACTGTACACTATGGCAGGGACCACTGACAGTGACCACTGTACACTATGGCAGGGACCACTGTACAGCATGGCAGGGACCACTGTACACTATGGCAGGGACCACTGTACACTATGGCAGGGACCACTGTACACTGTGGACCACTGCGCAGGGACACTGTACTATGGCAGGGACCACTGTACACTATGGCAGGGACCACTGTACACTTGGCAGGGTCCACTGGCAGTACCTGGGCAGGGTCCACTGTACCACTGTACACTATGGCAGGTGCACTGTACACTCAGGGACCACTGTACACTGGCAGGGACCACTGTACACTGGCAGGGACCATACACTATGGCAGGGACCACTGTACACTATGGCAGGGACCACTGTACACTATGGCAGGGACCACAGTACACTGGCAGGGACCACTGTACACTGGCAGGGACCACTGTACACTATGGCAGGGACCACTGGCAGGGACCACTGTACACTATGGCAGGACCACTGTACACTATGGCAGGGACCACTGCACACTATGGCAGGGTCCACTGTACACTATGGCAGGGACCACTATACACTATGGCAGGGACCACTGTACACTATGGCAGGGACCACTGCGGCAGGACCACTGTACACTATGACAGGGACCACTGTACACACACTGGGCAGGGACCACTGTACACTATGGCAGGGACCACTGTACACTATGGGGACCACTGTACACTATGGCAGGGACCACTGTACACACTGGGCAGGGACCACTGTACACTATGGCAGGGACCACTGTACACTATGGCAGGGACCACTGCACCATGGCAGGGACCACTGCTGACAGGACCACTGTACACTATGGCAGGGACCACTGTACACTATGGCAGGGACCACTGTACACTATGGCAGGGGTCCACTGTACACTATGGGGGACCACTGTACACTATGGCAGGGACCACTGTACACTATGGCAGGGACCACTGTACACTATGGCAGGGACCACTGTACACTATGGCAGGACCACTGTACGGCAGGGACTATGTACACTATGACACCACTGTACACTGGGGACCACTGTACATATTATATG